TAGAAGATTCTGGTTGGGTCTACAATAGTATAAGGTAACACTATGGTGATATCATTCCATCATGTCATAGTGTAAGAGTGCACGGAATAGTTGTACTACCCAGAATATGGCATATACTCACATGAAATTTCACGATTTAGTGGTAGAATCATAAATTATCACAGTGGTGCAATGTGATGATTATCAACTTTGCCATAGAGCAGCATACAAAACAGCATTCTAGCAGCTTAGCTCCCCAGGGAATGTAGTCGACGAGCCCCTAAAAGCGTCACGTGGGATGGGGGTCTGGAGCTTAGGGTTCTCTATGTAAACTCTAAACCCTAAACCCTAAACCCCAAACCCTAAACCCCAAGCCCTAAACCATGTGGGAGTCGGGGGCATTGCAGCTCCATCACCTCCGCCTGCCACAATACTGCAGCTGGTTACAGCCTTCTATGTGAAGTATACAGAGTTTAGGGTTCGGGTCTAGGGCTTAGGGTTCAGGTTTTAAGACTCAGGGTGCGGGGTTTAGGGTTTAGGGTTTAGGGTTCAGGGTTTAGGGTTTAGGGTTTAGGGAGGATTTCGGGCTTCATTCTGTATTGTAGAGATCCGCCCGCATCCCAATCCAGATCCTCATCGTGGACGACTTCACCTCGTCTACTTCGGTCGAACTTTGGATCAGAACAGTGCAGGGTTTAGGGTTTAGGGTTGAGGGTTTAGGGTTTAGGGTTTAGGGTCTAGAGTTTAAGGTTTAGGGTTTGGGGTTTAGGGTTTAGGGTTTAGGGCTTCGGGCTTAGGGCTTGGGGTTTAGGCTAATAGGGTTGTTTATAGGCTTTCGTTAATTTAGAGTGTATCGTTTTGTTTTTTCAGGGTTTCTACAGGGTTTATGGTGTTTATTGGGGACTAAGTTTAGGGTTTAGGGTTTTTAGGGTGTTTAGGGTTTTTAGGTTTGTTTGGGTTCTTAGGGTTTTTAGGCTGTTTAGGGTTTTTGGGGTTTTTAAGGTGTTTAGGGTTTAGGTTCTTAGGGTTTTAGGGTTTTTTTAGGTTTTTAAGGGATTTTTTTTGGGTTGTTTAGGGTTGTTAGGGTTTAGGGTTTAGGGTTAGTAGTGTTTAAAGGTCGAGGTTCCGGGGCCCCCCGTGGCGATTGCACTCGCCAATGGAGCTCGACGTGCAGAAGCCTCAATCGCTCGCTTACTTATTCCTTGCTAGCCCAGAGATACCCGTTCGCCTTTTTTTGGGTTGTAGGTTCTGTGGTAAAGTAGCTAAAACCTAAACCCTAAACCCTACACCCTAACCCTCAACCCTATAAGCCCTAAACCCCAAAATAGGGCACGTTGCACCAAGATTCACGCTGACGCTTTGGGCTCTCACCAGCTGCCTCGTAGAGTTGGGAGTTAACCGCTAAACCCCCCCGAACCCTCAACGAAAACGAGCTGCAGAAGGCTTAAGCCCTGAACCCTCAATCACTAAACCCTTCAGACTCTAAACCCTAAACCCCAAACCCTGAGTTGTCTTATGAAGGGTTTGCACCAAAGTCATCACCAAAGACTTAATGCCAACAGTCCTGAACAGGGATTCCAGTGCCCCCGATTAAAATCCCTCTTAAGGACTGCTAGTAGAAGGGGAACATCCCAAGCCCTAAGCCCCAAGCCCTAAGGGTAGTAAACCCTAAACCCTAAACCCTAAACCCTAAACCCTAAACCCTAAACATGAGATCCAATTCCTAAGGCTTCGCCACGCGTTCCAGAGCCGCGTTGTTGCGGGGACGCTTGGCACAGCCCAAGATAAGTGGGGTTGAGGCGTTTACTACTGTTTGCCCAAGAACCCCCACAAAAACAAAGAATAAGAATCCCTATATTGCCTCAATAAAGAAGAATATCTATGTATTTGTGGGGTGGTCTTAGGGGTTTTGGGGTTTAGGGCGCAGGGTATTTGTTGGCTTCGGGTTTCCTCAGGGTGGAGATCACTTGCCTGAGGTCTCGCATGTAGTTTGGTGCTTGGGGTTTTAGGGTTTGTTTCTTTATTGTTTCCGGTTGGGTAGGTTTTTGCTTTTAAGAGGGGGCTGCAGTACGGAGTATGCGGGTTTGGGATTGAAGTCGTGTTTTGGAACCCTAAACCCTAAACACTATAATTAAGCCTGTTGAATTGGGGGTGTTTGGGGCTTAGTTGGAGGCTTCTGGGTCTACGTGCAAGTATAGAAAGTTCTACTGCGGTTTCGTGTTCAGGGTTTAGCTACTGCGGTTTAGGATTTAGGATTTAGGATTTAGGATAATTTAGGATTTAGGGTTTAGGGTTTAGGGTTTGGGGTTTAGGGTTTAGGGTCTTTATGGTTTAGGGTTGTGGGCTCAGGGCCAGCTGGGCTCCGGCAAAGCATGGTATTTGCGTGGTAGGCTTGAACCCTATAACCCTAAACTTGGGATGTTCCCGCTTATTCTGACTGACAGATCGTGAATAGGGATTATCGTACCCCCCTATTATCATCCCTATCCAGGTCTGTTAGTAGAAGGGGCAACATCCCAACCCTAAACCCTAAAGCTGCTAGCATGTAAGGGCTTGTGTTTAGGATCACGCATGGCATGACGGCCCACGGCTTTAAAGCGCTAGACCCTAAACCCTAAATCCCGGAAACCCTAAACCCCCTTTTCATACATGAGAGGGAGAGGGTGAAGCCCCAAACACCTTCACGCTGCTGGTGTGGGCCGAGGGTCCTGTGTCCGCGGCAATTGGGCAACAAATGTAAGGGCTGGTTTAGGGGAGGTGGAGGCCTTGGGTTTAGGGGTTAGGGTTTAGGGCTTGGTTTAGGGTTTTTTACGGTAGGGTTTCGGGGCTTGTGTTTTGGGCAGTTTTGGGGATAGGGTTTTAGGGTTTTGGTTTTTCGCCCAAGTCAAGGTGTTGACATACGCGTCCAAGTCAAGTTGTTGACATGTGGAAATCTGCCGGGGCTCGCCAAAGCCCGGCAACTTTCCCGAAACCCTAAACCCTAAACCCAAAACCCTAAACCCCAGGTCCCCAGCCCCCTGAACCCCCCTAAACCCGCACAGCAGCGGAGGACTCAGGGGACGACCTGCATTGGTACGTCGCTCCCCACGGAGACGCGCTGCCACCTGTGCGATGGGCAGCTGGGCGAGTTTAGGGTTTTAGGGTTTTAGAGGTTTAGGGTTTCGGGTTTTTTGGGTTTAGGGTTTAGGGTTTAAGCTTAAGAGTTTAAGGTTTTGGGTTTAGGGGTTTAGGGTTTAGGGGTTTAGGGTTTCGGGTTTTTGGGTTTTGGGTTTAGGGTTTAGGTTTGGGGTTTAGGGTTGGGGGCTTCGGCTTGCTTCGCGAGGGTGAGGATGGGTCCAGGCATGAGAACCGGCAGCGACTTTGGGCACCAGATTGGAGGCCTTACAGTAGGGTTTAGGGTTTAGGGTTTAGGGTTTAGGGTTTTTGGTTTAGGGTCCAGGGTTGTGTCTCTTCTTTGGGGTACATGGACCCTTTTGCTTTCGTACATGGTGTCTCTAAGGAACACATCTGAGAGTGGTTAGATAGGGTGGTATGATGAAGGGATCCTTCGTATCCACAAGTGCAAACCTCAAGGCGCTAAACCCCGAACCCTGAACGCTGCAAGCCATACAGTAAAACTTACCCTAAACTCCAAACCCTGAATCCCAAACCCCAAACCCCAAACCCCAAGCCCCAAGCCCCAAACCCCAAACCCCAAACCCCAAACCCTAAGCCTAAACCCTAATCAACCCTGAACCAAAACCCAACCTGAGCCCTAGGCAAACTTGTAGTTACATCCTAAACCCTAAGTTCAAACCTGTAAACCCCTAAAGCCCGAAACCCCTTTGGGGTCTGAGATCATCAAGAAGCCCTCCGTGCTCCAGCGAGTGCTGCTGGAAGGAGGTGGGGACCCGGAGCCCCAGTCGATTCCTCGGGGGTTCTGGGTTCAGGGATGATAGGGTTGAGGGTTTAGTAGGGTTTAGGGTTTAGGGTTTAGGGTTTAGGGTTTAGGGTTTAGGGTTTAGGGTTTAGGGTTTAGGGTTTAGGGTTAGGGATTGCAGGTTGTAGGCTGGGGGTTGTTTGCGTGTGCGCGCTATTCCTGTCTTTTTGTGTGCGTGCTTGCTTGGCTTCGTTTTCCAGCGGTCGTGCAGAAACCCTATCAGCTCCATTCCCTAAACCCTATAACATCTGTACCAATGAGGGCCTCTAAGGATCGGACCAATCTCAACGCCAGCGCTCCGAGTTCCAAGTTGGGGCAATCTTGCTGGGGTTTGGGGTTTGGGGTTTAGGGTTTAGGGTAAAGGAGACCCGCGTAGACTGCGATCGATTTGTACGCAGAAGGCTCAAATTCATGGTGACACTGCGTTGGGCCCCAAACCCTAGCACCCTAAAACCCTAAATAACCTCTAACTAACTCTTAAACCCTACAGCCTAAGCCCTAAATATGAAACTGGAAGGAGCGGCATCGTTCTTTTATCCTCACAGAGCAGAAGAAACCCGTGTGCCTTGAGCCAAACAGCACGTTTGGCCATGCTAATCTTCTATGTATCGTCGCCCAAGGGCAATACTTCTCGTTTTGTGCGTGCTCGAGCTGCTGACGCTCAGCATTCACCTTCTGGTTTCACACTGGTTCAAAAACAGTCCCCCCTTTTCTGCAGGCCAGGCCAGGGCTTGACAATGTAGAAGATGTCGTCGTGGGGAATGTCGCCGAGGAAGGTGTGGCAGCGCAAGATGAGATCGTGGAGGCAAAAGATGCTGCTGAAGAGCTTTGTGCCGCTGACAAACCGGTTGCGAAGGACAGCGTTGTAGACGACGCACTTGTAGAAGCCACTCTCGAAGTCGATGGTGATGTGGTCGTACACGATGTGGTAGTGGATGAGGTTGACGTAGAGGATGCGGTAGTCGACCATGTGGATGTAGATGATGCGGTCGTCGCGGACGCCCCCGTCAAGGATGTAGCTGCCGTAGTAGATGCTGCTGAAGTGTCAGCAAAGGACAGCGGGGTACAAGATGTGGTCGCGCAGAATCTCGACGTGGATGTTTCATTGGAAGAAGGTGACGTCGTTGAAGATGTACTCGTAAAGGGCGCGCTCGCACATCTTGAGAACGTACATATTAGTGACATCGACGGCATACTTTGGGAGGGTACTGGCGTGAGCAACCTCGTAGTAGACGATGTCGGCAAACGGGATGGTCGTGTCGCAGCGGGCGAAGTTGCCACCGAGGTTGTTGTAAACGATGCCTGCCGATAGGACGTACTTGTAAAGCACGCAGTTGCGCAGGTAACAGCGACACACAATGGAGCCAACCCACAAGATCTCCGCCTCAGAGCACAATCTAAAGACGAAGGAGACAAAGTAGCACTCGACGGTGCCAAACCGAAAGATCTCCGCCTCAGAGCACAATCTAAAACCGAAGAAGGAGACAAAGTAGCACTCGACGGTGCCAAACCAAAAGATTTCCGCCTCAGAGCACAATCTAGAGACAAAGGAGACAAAGTAGCACTCGACGGTGCCAAACCGAAAGATCTCCGCCTCAGAGCACAATCTAAAGACGAAGGAGACAAAGTAGCACTCGACGGCGCCAAACCAAAAGATCTCCGCCTCAGAGCACGGTCTAAAGGCAGAGAAGTTTTCTGGAGTTCGCAAAGCTCGACGACGTAAACAAGGATGCTGACACACAGCGCCAGGACCGACATGAACCCCGGGAACGGCCCCGAGGCTCCGCTACCAATATGAAACTGGAAGGAGCGGCATCGCTCTTTTCTCCTCACAGAGCAGAAGAAACCCATGCTAATCTTCTATGTATCGTCGCCGCAATGGCAATACTTCTCGATGTGTGCGTGCTCGAGCTGCTGACGCTCAGCATTCACCTTCTGGTTTCACCGTTAAGGACCCTATAATGAAAGCTCTGGAACACTTGCAACACAACTCGTGCCTGCTAACCCTAAACCCGAAACCCTAAACCCCAAAAACCCTAAACCCTAAATCTTATAAACCCTAAACCCTGAACAACCAAAGTGCATCAAACAAAGTGCAGCCACGCCAGGTCTCGGCTTCGCTGAGTCGTACATGGAGCCTTGGCTGCGTCGTGGCTTTAGGTTTTTGTTTTGTGTGTTAAGGGTTTAGGGTTTAGGGTTTAGGGTTCAAGATTGTGTAGTGTTTAGATTTAGGGTAAATGAGTTTAGGGTTTAGGGTTTAGGGTTTAGGTTTTAGGTTTTAGTGCTCGTCTTCGTCGTCGTCATCATCATCGTCGTCGTTGTCGCTTAGCGAAACCCTAAACCCTAAACCCCAAGCCCTCAACCCTAAACCCCTAAACCCTAAACCCTGAACCCCTAAACCCCTAAACCCCAAACCCGAAACCCTAAACCCTAAACCCCTAAAACCCTAAACCCCAAACACGAAACCCTAAACCCTCAACCCCTCAAGCCCTCAACCCTAAGAGGGGTTATTGGGGTGGCTTCCGCCCCTCCGAAGGATGGCGACTGGGATACGGATGACCTCGAGCGCCTGGTCTTCGAAATGCCGCGCGCCGAATTTCTGGGCAGCTTCGGGGTTTAGGGTTTAGGGTTTAGGGTTTAGGGTTTAGGGTTTAGGGTTTAGGGTTTAGGGTTTAGGGTTTAGGGTTTAGGCGTGGCTTGCTTCCTCGGACATTGAACCCTGAAACCCTAAACCCTGATTATCAGGGGGTTTGGGGTTTAGGGTTTAGGGTTTGAGGTTTAGGGTTTAGGGTTCAATCATCCTCGCACCTGTGAGCCCTAAGCCCCAAGTCCGAAACCCTAAACCCTAAACCCTGAACCCTGAACCCTGAACCCGAAGCCGCAAGCCCTAAACCTGCCGCGCTTCCAGCACAGGCTGAAGCTCGAGAATGTCCGAAGTGAGCTGGGTTGGCGCGTGCATCTTGGCTTTCCAACCGACCACCCCTCCCCCCCCCCCTTTACCCCCTAAGCCCTAAACCACTTAGGGTTTAGGGTTTAGGGTTTAGGGTTTAGGGTTTAGGGCTTAGGGTCCCTCAGGTTAAAGGTCTAGACCCCTAACCCCTGGAAACCCTCAAATCCCCAATGGTGTAAGAAACCAAAAAAGCTCAACCCCCCCCCTGCCCGTGTGCAGCTTAAATAGGGTCAATTTGGAAGCTGGTACTCGGTTTCAAAATGAGAAAACAGAGCCAAAGACCTGCTTCTTAAACACAAGAGCCTGCTTCCAAATAAACCCTATTTTAGCTCTGGGTGGGGGGGGTCAAGGAGCCAGAATTAAACAATTTAGTTATTTAATATTTGGGAGGCCTTGGGAGTTAAATTATTGAAATTATCTCATTCGGGGCCGAGAATTAAATAATTTAAACAATTTAAATTATCTACGTAATTTAAATAATTTCAATCTGAAAAGGGGGGGGGAGGAGAGGACCACCCCCAGGAATTTGATAGTTTAAATATTTGGGAGGTTTGCCCCCTTTTCAGATTTAGACTATGTCAATTGTTTTATTTTTTTTGAAAAAATAGTTTTTTGTGTTTTAAATTCGGGGCCGGGAATTAAATAATTCAAACAATTTAAATATCTGGGAGGCCTTGCGATTTAAATTATCTAAATTGTCTAATCCGGCGCGGGAATTAAATGATTTAAAAAACTAAACATTTGGGAGGCCTTGGGATTTAAATTATTCAAATTATTTATTTCCCGGGGCTGGGCCCCTCTTCCCCCCCCTTTTCAGATTCAAATTGTTCAAGTTGTTTAATGTTTTTAAGTTGTTAAATTATGTAAATTATTTAAATTATTTAATTCGGGGCCGGGAATTCAATAATTTAAGTAATTTAAATGATTTACATCTGAGAGGGGGGGGGAGGCCCAGGCCCAGGAATTACATAATTTACATACTTTAAATCCAAAGGCCTCCCAAATATTCAAATTATTTAGGTTATTTATTCCCGGCCCCGAATTCAATAGTTTAAATAAATTAAATCTCAGGGCCTCCTATAAATTGATTTTTCAAAGTATTTAATTCCGGCACCGAATTAAATAATATAAAAAAAGAATAATTTAAATAGTTTAAATCTGAAAAGCGTGGGAAGAGGAGGCCCAGGCGCAGGAATTAAATTTTTTTAAATAAGGTAATCCCGAGGCCTCCCAAAAGTATATTTTACTAAAATTAATCAATGCGGGGCCGGGGCTTAAATAATGTAAATCCTGAGGCCTCCCAAATATTTACGTTTTTTGAACGATTTAAAAGCCATCCCATCGTCTTCATCATCTCGTTCATCTCGTTCATCTCGTTCATCTCTTCATCATCTCGTTCATCTCGTTCATCTTCTCCATCATCTCCATCATCTCCCCTCTTGTCTGTCATCTCATTTTCAAAGGCATCCTCTACATCGAGGATCCCCATCAGCTTCATCATCGTCGTCATCTTCATCGTCTTCTTCATCTTTTTATCTGCTTCATCTGCTTCATCTTTTCATCTGCTTCATCTGCTTCATCTTTCTCATCAGCTTCATCTTGTTCATCTCGTTGGTTTGGGGTTAGTAGCCTGAGGGGAGTTTAAAAAAAACAAAAAACACGTTGGGATAAGCAGTGGCACTGAGATAAGCAGAGTTTTGAGTTTGGCATAGAGAGTGATCGTCGTCGATGCTCATGTTGCGGGATAGCGAGCGCCTGCCTCGGAAATGGTCTATGGCGAAGACGGTGGCGATCGTTCTCTGCTATGGTCCGCGTGGCTTGTATTGCTTTGCAGTGCACAGGGCGCAGGGCGTAGAGTCGATACATGCTAGGTGCGGGTTAGCAGCAGTCTTTGCGCTTGTGATACTGGGCCATGGGACAATGAATGTGTATGTCTGTGTTTCGATTATGAGCCTTTGGTACATTTTGCAGCCCCCTCGCTTCCGGACCTGCTGGCATGTGACTATGCCTCGTGTGGCTACATCGGCAGTGTCCCCTCAGAAGCGTTCCCTACGAGTCCTTCGCGCGGAGTATTTCAAGCGCAAGGGAGACATCAGAGATATTGTCCACACGAAGACGGCCATTTTGAATGAAGTCCGGGACAAGATCAGGAAGCTCGAGGGAGAGATCAAAGAGGCAGAAGAGGAGCTGTCGCGGTAGTTTGATTCCGGATCGAGTCTGTTCCCAAACTCGAGCTCGGAGTCCGAATCCTGCGACAGTCCTCCTCCTCCGTCCAAAAAAGCGGTTGTCCCGCCCCCTAAGGGGAAAGCAGGCACCGCCACAGGCTCCTAAGCCAGTCAGTCAACGAGAAGAAGGTGGACGGCGTGAAGGAATAAGAGGGCTGTACGTATCGGCCGCACATTGCTCCAGGCCAAGAGGCTCCAAATCATCGTGGCTCCCCTAATGCGGAGGGCTTGCTCTACCCCGGCTTCGGCAAAGACGACGGGCGCTACTGCGAGGCCTGCGAGCAACTACGTAGGGGATTCCCACACGCGACCAAGGCGCATCGTCCTAAGGACATGCGCTGCCTTGGGCGCCGCTCGCGAAGAAGCAGAGCTAGGCTTGGGCCTCTTACTAGCAGTTTTGGATGGAGTAATCACCGTGGGAAAAGGAGAAGTCGTTCGTTAAGCAGTTGATGCTCATGTTGTAGTGACCATCAGTCCCTACTAGACTGAATTTTCTTGAGGAACAACTGCAGATTCGTCGATGAGGAAGGCTAAATGCCACCCCCCCCCCCTCTCAAGCCCTAAGAATCCCTGAAACCTAAACCCTACAAACCCTAAAATCCCCAAAGCCCTTAAAAAATCCCCAAAATTCTGATCGCTAAAGACCTTAGGCCGTCTTGGTGGAGTTGGAGAAGGGTTCCACTGAAGGAACTTTGACGCCAGAGTATAGGATCTGACCTTAGTTTTCGGCTTCATCTCGTCCCCAAGGCAAGATCCAGGCTGGGAAGACCTGCCCGGGTGGGGCTTTCCGAAAATAGGGTACCCCTTTGTTTTTTCAAGCAGATCCCAAATCCTCAATATAGGAACCGCTGAAGATTGGCACCCTAATTACAGCAACAGGTTGAGACAGCAAACTCAAAAGCAACAACTCGACATCGCCTCACAACAGAGCTCACCAGCCGTCAATAGTATCTTCCGTGGCAAACGAAGGCAGAGAAAGGTTGGCACCCCCCTCAGCCTTTTCTGTTTAGTACCCTCAAGTGGTTGGCTTTTTTCTGGGCAAACTGGAACCTTCAACGGCTCCCCTAAACCCAAACCCCAAACCCCAAACCCCAAACCCTAAACCCTAAACCCTATCTCAGAGCGTCCTGGCGCACATAGTCACACAGTGCAGTGCAGGGCTTGGGGTTTAGGGTTTAGGGTTTAGGGTTTAGGGTCTAGGGTCTAGGGTTTAGGGTTTAGGGTTTAGGGTTTAGGATTTAGGGTTGAGGGTTTCATGCCTTGGCCTCCCTAAGCCCAGGGAGCCCACTGCTCTGCGATCCCAGGATGCCACTCCTGAGCATGATCTTCTGGGGCGCTCTGAAGTGGCGACTTTGACCACGAAGGGTTTGGGGTTTAGGGTTTAGGGTTTAGGGCTACTAGAACCCGGAGAAGGCCCCTATTCCCTTTTTGGGGGGTTTAGGCGCCCTTGTAAGCCCCTTTAAACTCGTGGGTCTAGATGATCTACTGCTTGCTGAAGAACCACCTAACCAACACGAAAGCTTCTTCTTTCTAGGGGTAGTATAGGGGCTCTTTTTTTCCGGGGGGGGGGGGGGGGGGGGGGGGTAAGTGGCGACTTTGACTACTGCGTGGTGTACTTCTCTCAATTGGGGTCCCGTTTGGAGGGTCGTTTCTAGAAGGTGCTGTACTATATAGAGGATCCAAACAGGGACCGCAATTTAGAGAACCACCCACCTGCTTAAGAACCACCAAAAAGATAAGAAATCTTCTTCCTTGTAGTGTGATAGGGACCTTCCTAAACCCCAGAAACAAAACCCCAAACCCTAAAACTTCATTCCTAAACCCTTGCCCCAAACCCTCGACCCCTACTAAGTGGTGGGCTGTGTTGCTTGAGCTTTGCCTCTGGGGGGGGGACCCGAAGGCTTTACAGATTTAGACTTGGGGAGGGGCAGCTTGGGTTGGGCGTCAGGGCTTGTTACATCTTGGGTTCGTGCAGCTTTTGGGCTCCGAATGCCTTTCAGCCGATTCGGGTTTTGTGTTTTTAAGGGTTTTGAATCCCTTTCCCGTCCCCATCCCCCCTCCGAGTCCTATGCCCCAACCTTGGCGCAGGGTCTGCACGTAGTTCTTCCCTGAAGAATAATTACCCGGATTTAAGGTTTAGGGTTTAGGGTTTACGGCTTAGGGTTTGGGTTTCGCCTTTGCCCCAATCCTTTCTGAAGGCCTACGATCAAGATACGGTCGGTTGACGAAAATAGGGGACCCCCGATATAGATCCCCAAAGAGTAAATATACCCATAATTTCGGGAAACTCCCATATTTAGGCGAGGATGCCCAGTAGTACCCTTATTCCCCTGTTTGGGGGGCTTCGGTTCCCTTATCAACTTTTTAAGCAACAAAGGGCACCCTTTCTAGGTTGCTGGGCAAGCTAATTAGTCGTAAACGCTAAACCAAAAACCCTAAACCCTAAACCCTAACCCTAAACCCTAAACCCTAAACCCTACACCCTGAACCCGTTGGGCAGAGTATGCTACCACCGAGGAAGGTCCTGCCTGGCAACTCGCTCAAAGGTGCGCAGGATAACATCGCCACCCACCCAGCTTCCGAAGCCGTTTAGGGTTTAGGGTTTAGGGTTTAGGGTCTAGGATTTAGGGCTTCGTGTTCACAAGCCAGAGGGAGGGAATAAAACCTAAACCCTACATCTCGAGCCCCAAAGCCCAAACCCTATAGGCCCAAAAACCCTAAAGCCAAAATTTGCCGAATACCTAAGGCCTAACGCCCTAAAGCCCTAAAGCCCTAAAGCCATAGAACCCTAAAGCCTTAAACCCTAAACCTAAACCCTAAACCCTAAACCCTACACCCTACACCCTAAACCCTAAACCCTAGCCCTAAACCCTAACCTAGGCTTAGGGCCTTGACAGTCCCTCGGTCCTGGTGCCTTATGCAGGGTTTAGGGTTTGGGGTTTAGGCTTTAGGGAGGGCTTCGGGGTTCAGGGTTGGGAGGGGTTTTGGGTTCAGGGTTTCGGGCTTCGGGTTTAGGGTTTAGGAAGTTGGTAGACTATAGGTACGCAGATATCATGGGACCCTCATGCCCCATCCCTACGCCCTGAACCCCTAAACCCTCGGCCCCTCAATACGTGCCCCAACAATTGAGACCCGGGAGCCTTCTTCCAGGAGCTAGTGGGAGGCACCAGCCCCTCTTTAGGCGGGTCCTTGCAGCCTCTTGGGGTAGTTCGAAAGAAGGGGCTTTCTTGTTTCAGTGGCTGTTATAGAAGCGTTGCCTGGCACCCTGAAGGGTCCATGTACCTTATTACTATGTTCTTGGGCATAGGAGGTACTTTGAGGCCCAAGTGTTCCCAAATATGGGTACACGGACTCTTAGGGAAAAGTCTCAAGTCATGAGCCGACTTTCCCCTTTGGAATTGTCTTTTTTCGAGCCCCAAGGAACTATGCAGAAGATGTTTTGTGTTGGGGCGCAATGGCTCACAGCATCCTGAATGAGCCTAACGCCCTCGGCCCAAAAAAAGCATTAACCCGGTGCCACAAATTCCCTTACGCCCCTTAATTAAGCCACAAAACGCTGCTTTTCCTAGGACCCAGAGTGGTGTTCCCTTTTTTGGGGGGACTTGCTCCCTCATTTAAGCAAACAAAAAGGTGTACTCCCAGGCTCCTTGTAGAATTTTCTGGATCCAAAGTATGGACCCTTAATTTGGGTTCCCCTGTTGTTTTTTGTGCCCTTATATACACTACACACAATAAGGACTAAGGACCCATGCTTCGGATCATTTCGGATCCCTCTAAACCTCTTTGAACAAGGGTAAGGAACCATACTAAGGGCCCATGGTTCCAACCTTAGAAAATAGGGGCCCCAACCCTAAACCCTAAACTTAAACTTATAGGGTTCTTAAGGGTGGGGGTTCTCAAGGGGGGTAGGTAACCCAAGGTTCCCTGACACTCCCTACGACTCGAAGGCTCCCAAAGCTTCCCTGAGGTTCCCTAGGTACCGACCCCCCGACGAAGCCCCTTCCCTTAAGAATCCTACAATAAACCCTAAACCCTAAACCCTAAACCCTAAACCCGAAACCCTCAGGCCAACACCTACGACGTCCTGAACTCGCCGAAGCTCTATGAGATCATGCCGCGCGACTCCGGGAGGGGATTAGGGTTTAGGGTTGAGGGTTTAGGGTTTAGGGTTTAGGGTTTAGGGTTTAGGGTTTAGGGTTTATACGACCACTTCTGGTGACAGTTTTCCCCATGGAAGCACGGATAAGTCTATCGGGTTTGTGCTTTTGGATATTTTCGATTTCCCCCCTTTCGTTTTAAGGGAGCCTATTCATCAGTAATTTTCAAAGGGGTTAAAGCACAACTCAGCTATGTAGGGGCCTCATATGCCCCCTCTGTAGTCCTGCCCTGAGTACAGACCCTAAACTCTAAACCCTAAACCCTAAACCCTCCCCCCCACCCCCCTATGTACCCCTTCAACATGAGCCTTCTATAAGGAGCCGTGCCTGAGATATCCGTCCTGAGTTTTTTAGGGGTTTCGGGTTTAGGGTTTACGGGTTAGGGTTTAGGGTTTAGGGTTGAGTTTAAAGTCAATAGTTCAGATGAAGCTCTTCATTACCCATCCAAACCGAGCTATACGATGTCATTCGGGACTTGCTACTAAATGGTTTGGGAGCTTGATGGTTGTTTGTAGACGCTTAAACCCTAAACCCCAGATCCCAAACCCTAAACCCAGCCCTCCGACATCCCGGGAGGCTGGGGAAGTGCGGCAACGCACCCCGAAGCTCCCAAAAGGCTAGAGTCCAATGCTCGAGAAAGCTCCCGAAGGCACCAAAGAAGCTCGCTTAGGGTTTAGGGTTTAGGGTTTGGGGTTTAGGGTTTAGGGTTAGCCCTGAAAGGCTTTTTGGGGGCCTTGTAATCGCCCCAACACCCGTGTCAGCCCTTTGAAAGCAGTCGCTCCAGCTTCAAACCCGGCGTGGAACCCTAAACCCTAAA